AATAGGAATATTGAGATGGAGGTTGGGGTGTGAAGACAGGAAAAAAAGCAAAAATGATTAAAGTGAGGGGAGGGTGAGGATAATTGCTGAGGAGTTAAGTCCCATAAAGGTCATTGTGTTCTTGGACGATGCCAGGGGCTACGGCAGGACTTTGGGATGATCGGCGGAGCTCAGATCTTTTCTATGGCCCTTCTCTGAGTTCAGTGTAGAAATCCCATCAAGCATTTAGCATGCTAAAAGTAAGAACTTAGGTGACAATGGGTAGAAAAATGTTATGAGCTTATGACAAATACCCCCACTACTAAGTCTAATTCAAAGCAGATATGCATTCTAGTATAAAACTCAGAGTAACAAACCATCTGTCTCTACACAGTGACATCTCCTCTTGTTAGGACTTAGTCTTTTTGATATCCAATTGGATTTTAATATTAACTGTAGCAGGACATTTTATTAAATGACTGAAATAGGTTCTTATAAAAAAATGTGGATACAGCCTTTTGGTGGTCTGCCCTTTCCTATACCTAATAATATTTTTAAATCTAGTATTATCTGTTTACATGTTCGACTTATGCAAAACATTTTTAGGAAAGAACATTGTAACTAGAAGAAACCAATACAGACTAGTTGTGGAATGAGTTATGGGATGATCAAAGATTATAGTAGACAATAAACTTAAGGTTAAATGTTCACTCTGTAAAATTCTAGATATGATATGCTTAGTAAGATTGTGATGAAGCCCTGGATGCTTACAGGGTCATTGTGAGGGGGACCTTCACTGGCCTCTGTCTCCCATGCATGGGAGAGTAGTACCAAACCCCATCTTCCTGTCCTGCACTGCCATCCTTATGTTGTTGTAAGCTGTTGTTTCCTGTCCGGGTCTCTGAGAACTGCAGAGCTGACTTTTCTTAGGACAGAACTTCCAAAGTCTTAGTTCCTCTCTTTGGCTGACCATTCAACCTTCCTGATCCTGATACACAAGCTTGGGTCGACAGCTTTTTATAGTAATGTATCTAAGGCTGATGCCAGTGTCCTGGCTCTTTAAAAAACACATCCTAAACACTGGGAGGACTAAGATTAAACAGAAAACTAAAGGCTAGGGATACAGCTCAATGCTAGAAGTCTGCTTAGCATGTTCAAGGGCCTGGGTTTGACCCACACACTATAAGTAAAGAGAAGATATACAACCTCATTAGCATGCAACGGACTTGAGCTCATGTCTGTCCAGCTTCCCCCTTTCCTTCTACTCCTACTATGCAAGCCTATTTCCAGTTTTGCTTAGAACTCTAGAATAATGATGCTGTGTCCAGTGTAGACAACACATCAAAATGTCAAGGGACACTGGTGACGTGGCTGAGAGTGTTGTCCACTTTACTGCTCCCATTGCCCCTGCCTTTGTAGGAACCTTGTAATGATTTCATAGTCTTCCGGGCTTTTTAGACCATGAGAGTGAAAAAACATGGTTGGATCGAGAATCTCCAATAGAGTGACTCTAAGAATCTTCTAGGATTTAAGGTCTACATCAAAAATGTCAATGTTCAGAAAGAAGACAAAAGTCTAGAATGATAGGCCTGCCTTGCTATGCCTTAGCTGAATTGAGGCTTGTCTTGATACCCTAAATGTTTTGGACATATGCAAACATTTGTGAAGGCCACCTCGTTTAGAGGGATCGGTGAATAGGAAGACTGGATAACATGATCAGGCCATTTTATCTCTGGAGAAACATCATGTGTGCTTATCTCCTGGAGGAAGGGCGGTTGAAGCTGGGTATGGCTGTGTGAGCCTCTAGTCCTAGTACCTTGGTGGCTCGGCACGGGGATGGTGAGGTCAAGGCCAGTGTATGTGACACAGTAGGACCCTGTCTCAGAGAGAGAGAGAGAGAGAGAGAGAGAGAGAGAGAGAGAGAGAGAGAGAGAGAGAGAGAGTAGAAGGAAGGAGGGAGGGAATGAGGGATGAAGGGATGGAAGGAAGGGCTGGAAGCTGTAATTTTCCACTCAAACCCTTCCTCCAGATGATGGCTTTTTTTTTTTTTTTAACAGATTCACTGTTCTTTCTTTTCCCCAAAATTCACCATGGATTTGCAGAGAGAACTTAGGTAAACCAGCTGACTGTCTACTATAGAAGGCAGCTGGTGGTAAACATCAGTGCAAAGAGCCCAGAGCTTCATGCTCTGAAATGTTAGCTCCATGTTGAAATGGCCAAGTTTTTCTGACAAGAAACTTGTATGGAAAGAGACTTGGCCTTCTTTTCATGAGGAACAGACCTATGTGGTTGGGAGGACACAGATGAACGTAAGGGATCTTCCTATGCAGTGAGGGATCTCTTGTTTCTAGAAGAAATTGAACAGCTAGAAGTCAGGAAACCTTGAAATAGCTGAGTTGTTGCAGAATATTAGTTAAAGATGTGTTACATTTGTTAATGCTGTGGAACATTTATTTAATGATGCAAAGATGTGTTTCATTCTTTTATGCTGCATTTGTTTTAACTCTGTGAATCTGTGTTACGTTGCCTCTCTAAAACATCTGATTGGTCTAATAAAGAGCTGAATAGCCAATAGCAAGGCAGGAGAAGGGATAGGTGGGGCTGGCAGGCAGAGAGAATATATAGAGGGAGAAATCTGAGAGGAAAAGATCAAGGAGCAAGAAAAGGAGAAGGAGAGGTAGACATCAGGAGTCAGCCACCCTGTGTAGCTACACAGCAAGCCACAGAGTAAGAAATAAAGAAAGGTACACAGAGACAGGAAAAGATAAAAGCCCAGAGGCAAAAGGTCAATGGGATAATTTAAGAAAAGCTGGCAAGAAACAAGCCAAGCTAAGGCTAGGCATTCATAAGAAAGAATAAACCTCTGTATGGTTATTTGGGAGCTGGATGGTGGACCTCCCAAAAAGCAAAGAGTAAAGAGTAAAAATCAGCAACACTGAGTTTTATGGTACTTGAGAAATTCAAGGCTGTCTGCCCTATGCTCTGCTAACTGCCATACTTTGTGAATATGCATCAGCCAATTGGCCAATCTCAGGATTTCTCTGAGGTACGAATGTGTTTATCTGTGGTTCACATTCAGAGGCTACTCATCCTTTGAAAAACTGACTGGTTTTTGTGAGGGGTTCATCTTGATAGTCAGTAGTGCTTCACTGGGTAGATTCAGAGAGCAGACATGGAGATGTCTGTGTCAGCGACTCTTAAGGGTACCTCATCCTTTAGGGAACAAATTGAAGCCGTGGTGCTGCTGGCTCTTGTGAAAGCAATGTGAAAAGTTGTCAATAGGAAGATGGGGTTGCTTGTGTCAAACCCAGCAAAACAAATCGAAAGCCAGGAAATTATGAAGGAAAAGGTCTTACACGTCCCTAAGACTGCCTGAGTCACAAGTTCAGTGGCCACTAAAGCCTTATTTTAAAAAGTGCTTCCATGGGAGTACTTGCCCAGCAACTGCCTTTTCAACCCCGGGCTGGTGTCAGTCTGGATATTACTCACTGTGGCCGGAGACTACCATTTTGAAACAGCTGATGTGCGCCCGTGAGATGGCTCAGTAGGTGGAGGACTTGTCTTCTGTTCCCAGAGTTCTGTTTCTGGGACCCACATGGTGGGAGGGAAGAATCAGAATATCGTCTCTGACTCCCTTAATTTTTCTGTCTTTAAAAACTTTCCTTTGCCTCCGTTTCCTGAGTATTCCCAAGATTTGGTGAAGCATATTCCCACCAAAATGCCCTGCTATTCCTAAGGAATATCAGCATTCTTTGGAGAACATTTCCTACTTTTTTTTTTTTGTTTTTTTTTTTTAGTTTAGTTTGATGTGCACTTTGTTGTATTTTAAACATCCACCTTATTCACATTTGTAGATGAGTTTTCTTTCGGGTGCCTCCATGACCACTTTCCTCTTTGCAGTGTTCTAAGTAAACCCCCTTTCTACTCTGACCTCCAGGTTCAGGTGTTACACCAACTTGCCAAACCCCTACCACACTAAGACCTGGTGTTGTTGGAAAAACAACAGGGCCTGTTAGGCTAAAAAAAAAATTAGAAAGGAATGCTGGCGGTGGGGGGGGGGGGGGGGGGGCGGGCATTTTAGGTGCTCCACATCTGTGCGTGGTAGTGCAGACTTGCAATCCTAGCTCTGTCAAGGTGGAGACAGGCTGGTGTGATGGCTAATTTGGTTGTCGACTTGACTACATTTGGAATTAACTAAACCCCCAAAATGGCTGGGTGCACCTATGAGGTGTGGTGATAAGTTATGTACCCTAATAAAAATTGTCTGAAGACTTAATAAAATTTGCCTGAAGATCAGAGAGACAAAGGAACAAGCCCCTGTACTTCTCACCTCGCCAACTCCATGAGTCCTGTGACTGAAGACCCCCGAGTCCTCAGCTGAAAGGCTCTCAACCGAAAGGCACTCCTCAGCTGAAACGGGCTTCTAAGTTCCTGTCTCCTCAGGCCTTATGTACCTTTCTCCGCCCAGGCATATTACTTCCTTCCCAGTGCTGGGATTAAAGGCCTGTGTGCTTCCCAAATACTGGTAGCAGAGGCATGAGATCTCAAATGCTGGAATTAAAGGTGTGTGACTCCCAAGTACTGGGATTAAAAGTGTGTGCCACCACTGCCTGGCTCTATTTCCTCTCCTAGACTGAATCAATCTCTTATAATACTGGGTGACTTTGAACTCACAGAGATCCAGATGGATCTCTGCCTCCCAAGTGCTAGGATTAAAGGTGTGTACCACCGCTGCCTGGCCTCTATGTTTAATCTAGTGGCTGGTTCTGTCCTTTGATCTTCAGACAAATTTTATTAGGGCACAACAAAATATCACCACAATGAGGGATTTTTTTTCTTAATTAAACCATTTGAAGTGGGAAGATCCATTTTTAATCTGGATCCTTGAGGTAGGAAGACACACCTTTAATCCAGATCTTTTGAGGTGGGAAGATCCACCTTTAATCTGAGCATCTACGGAAGCCTGTATGAGGACATGAAAGAAGGAAGCCTCTCTCTTGTCCTGCTCTCTCTCTCTCCAGCAAGTCCATTCCTTCATTAGAGCATTAGAGCCTGCTTCTTCAGGGTTCCGGTGTGTACTGAGGACCAGCTGAGACATCCAGCCTTGGGGACTGACCAACTACTGAATTCTTGAACCTTCTGTTCACAGGCAGCCATCGTGGATTAGCTGGACCTCAGCCTGTAAGTCATTCTAATAAACCCCTTTTCTATACATATAGAGAGATTCATTCTGTAAGTTCTGTTAGTCTAGACAACCCTGATTGATACACCTAGTGCTGCTGGCTGTCCTGACAGCCTAATCTGCTTGGTGGGTTTCAGAACTGTGAGACTGCCCTAACAAAAAGGAAAAAGAGAGCAGTAGCGATTCTTCCAGAGGACCCAGGTTCAGTTCCCAGCACACAATATGGTGGTTCACAACCATCTGTAACTCCAATTCCAAGGATCCACTGCCCTCTCCTGGCCTCTGCAGGCACCAGACATACTGCTGGTGCACAGACATTGATGCAGGCAAAACGCCCATGTGTATATAATAAAAAAAATTAAAAAGAAAGGTGGACAGTGCCCGAGGAATGACATCTGAAGCTCTCCTCTGGTTTCTGCATACCCCTGCATACATATGAACACTCCCCAACACACACACACACACACACACACACACACACACACACACACACACACACACACACACACA